AGTGCTACGCTGGTTAGCACTACAGATGAAAGGGGCTTGGGGGTCATGATTGACCACAAGATGAATATGAGCCATCAATGTGATGCTGCAGCTAGTAAAGCAAGCAAAACGCTGGCTTGCATCCATAGATGCTTCTCAAGCAAATCCCAGGACATCATTCTCCTGTTGTACTTGGCCTTGGTGAGGCTGCAGCTGGACTACTGTGTCCAGTTTTGGGCTCCACAATTAAAAAGGATGTGGAGAAGCTTGAGAGACTGCAAAGGAGAGCCACGCACATGATCAGAGGTCAGGAAAACAGACCTTATGATGAGAGGCTGAGAGCCATGGGACTTTTCAGCCTGGAAAAGCACAGGCTCAGTGGCGATCTGGTGGCCACCTATAAGTTTATCAGGGTGTTCACCAGGATCTGGGGGAATGTCTGTTCACCAGAGAGCCCCAAGGGATAACAAGATCGAATGGTCACAAACTCCGCTGCAACCGATTCAGGCTGGACATAAGGAAGAACTTCTTTACTGTCTGAGCCCCTAAGGTTTGGAATAGACTGCCGCCGGAGGTGGTTCAAGCACCCACTTTCAATGCCTTCGAGACACATTTGGATGTTTATCTTGCTGGGATCCTATGATCCCTGCTGACTTTCTTCCCCTGGGGCAGAGGACTGGACTCAATGATCCTCCGGGGTCCCTTCCAACCCAAATGTCTATGAAATCTAAGAAATCTTTACATATTTTAACAGATTTTAAATATAAAAAATTGTGACCTAAAATAGGTATATTAAGAATTATTCTATTCTAACTTGCTTCACTGTTTTCGTGCTAATGATGCAGTAGAATACACTTTAAGAACAACTTTTTTAAGTACGAGACTTACCTCGCATAAAGGTGACTAGAGTCTCATGGCATGTACAGACATTCACTCTCCCAAGAGAAACTCTCCTGGGAATGATATGACCTTGGTTGTTCCCTGGTTATTTTTCTCCTGAAGCAGTCATTTTTACTCTGAGAGCAAAAACCTGAACATCTATACATGTAGTTTCTCCTAGGAGAGCAACTCCCAGGAGAAACTGAATGTTTATACGAGGCCTCAGTAAAAGTAAATACAGTGCTCCCAAAAACTGGTTAGAGATCTGCTAATTGTGGCAAATATCTTTAGTATAACTGTTCCTTTTTCACCAGTTAGTAGACATAACACAAGATGCTATTGGAATTTTTTTAAATGGTGGAAGGAGCACTATACCCAGACACCGAGACTAGTGAGTAATCAACTTACACACTTGGACGCCCTCCAGCAATTGCAGTGAGACCAGGTGCTAGAAATCAAAAGCAAAACAAAAACAAATTAATTCTAGAGACACTTTTTGCAACAAGTGTAACAGATTTCAACTCAATTTTGTTTTACCCTTAAACCTTCCTGTGCCTATCACTTAGCAAATAGTGGGTAAAGTCTAGAAAAGAATTTGCCTTTTACTAGAAATATTAAATTAAGTATTTTTGAGAGAGAGTTTAAAAGACTGAGATTTTTACCCCCCAAAAAAAAGAAAGAAAAGAAAAAAACAACAACCTGAAATAGGTCTCATATATTCACAAATACAAACTATGGAAAGGATCTTACATGATTTTTAACACCAATCAGATCATTAATTTATAAGAAAAAGACATAATCCTTTGAAAGAGAGATGGCTTTGAACTGAACTGTGGTTTATATATTGCAAATGACTGTTAAACTTTTTTATGAATACAGTTATAAATATAAGAAAAGGATCAGCTCTACAGAAAGCAAATCTATGCTCCTATTTATTAACTACTTCATGCAACCTAACCAAAGAATTATGAGGATGACTGATAATTTGAATATACCAGTTCAGCCACAATTTTGACATGCCAAGTAGCAAAAGTATGCAGTGCTGCTTTGCATTAGACCTTGTAGAAAACTCAGAGAACTGATTTTAGAATTTTGAAGTTACATTGTGCATAACTTTTGTTATTTATTTGTAGAATAATCATGACTGAGAATAGTTTTACTGATCAGTTCTATCTGCAACTGATCAGTAAAGCATGAATAACTAGGGCTATTAAAGATTTGGAAAAAGCAATATAAATGTATTTGTGGCAGGGCACTGTTGGTCCCTGCCACTTTAAGGACTGAGTCAAGTAGCCAACAGGTGCTTGATTGTGGCGGCCATTTTAGATCTCTGGCTGCCTATATAAACAGAACGGTTCACTGCTGGCAGGCCAGGCAGTAACACTGGCTGCATGCAACATCCTGGAGGTAAGGGCAGGAGCCGGAATGGTTTGGAGGCTCCTGGGCATGACTTAAAACTGCACCCTGTTGGGGATGGGTGGCCTAGTGGGGCTCCCAGTCGTGCGGGAGCCTCCAGGAAATGCCATGCCAGTTACCACCCCAGTGAAAGGTGGGTCGGGCTGCCTTAATAACCCCAGCTCCCACAACTGGGTGGGTTACCACATAGAAGGGCCAAGAAGGCGGACCCAAGTTAGAGAGGGAGCTAGAGGTTCATAGACCTGACTTGAAAACCCTCAACTGGTGAATGCTGTGGCCAGGAATGGAAGTGTCAAAAGGGCCAGGGGCCCACCACAAGGGATATCCAGAGCTGAGGACCTGGGGTTTCCAACTGGCCTTGGAGGTGAGGCCAGGGCCTGTGTGGCCAAAGGTTCTGGGGGGACCACACCTGAAAGGGAGAACAGTTTAGGGAGTTAGGCAGCCCATAATGGGGGCAGAATAGGCTGCCTGAGTGAAGGGATCTTTTAGGGGTCTAAACCGGAGGATTCTAGAGCCCAGAGTGGGGCCGGTGACATTAACAACTGTAGATACTATCTGCGAGGCTTAGGCTGCAGCGTAGGGGACCAACTGAGCCATAGATAGCATCTCCTGGCATCAGGGCAAGAAATGGGCAGCCTCCTGCCTAATTAAGATAATTAATTATATATCAAAAAGGCATGGCAAGCAAGAAGCTGGATGGAAACAGGTGGGCTGGCCGTTAGTAGACCAGCCCTGAGAGAGCCTCCTGTTACAGCATTGCTAGACTGATTTAATTGAGATGGCACTGCATTTCAACCAAGTCTTCATACAATATCTTTCTGTAGAAAATTTAGAGAAATATTAGCACATCTCACATCCCCATCTGCTTCCAAAAGGGAGCTTGTAGGGTTTTTAGATTAGATTCAGTTTGAAACACCAGTTGCTTCTAGGGTCATGTCCAGACGTGCATGGACATTTGGTTCCCCAGGGACAACTAGCAGTGGTGCACCTTGTGCTGCCGCTAGTTGTCCCCAGGTAGTACCTGTGCCTCACATGCTGGCGCACAGCAGGTTTCTCCAAGTGGGGTAGGGGAGGCTGAGGCCAGCACTGGGATGGCCGCAGAAGACTTACCTGGGGGCCTCCCAGGGCTTCAGCAGCAGCAATCCTGTTGCACGGAGCCGGGGCAGCTGCAGAGCACTGCTCTGGCTAGCCAGGCTCTGGCTTCAGGCGGCACACCTTTAACTGCCAGCACATTAAACACACAATTTAACTGCCAGCATTCTTGGAGCCACTTAATGCTGCCTTCCCTCCTATTCAAAATAACAGGGGATAGAGGCCCACCATTACAATCTATAAAACATGATATATGAGGAAGTCAGAAGAATTAGAATTAGTCTAAGGAGGAGAAAAACGGGGGGGGGGAGGATTTGATAGCATTCTTCATATATAAAAAATGATTATGAAGAAGATGGTGATCAATTTGTTCTCTGTTTCCTGAGAACAGGACAAGACAAGAAGTAATGACTTAAGTTACAACAAGGGAGATGAAGGTTAGATATTAGAAAGATCTTCTAGTTGTGAAGGTTATGTAAGAACCAGTTGCCTAAAGAGGTTGTGGAATCTCTGGCAGTAGAAGTTTTAAGGACAGGTTAGACAAACATTTTTTCTGGAAGGGTTCAGACAGGGATGATCTTGCCTCAAGCATGGGATTGGACTAAATGACTTCCTGAGGTTCCTTCCAGCCCTATTTTTAATTATTCTCACGGAGACAAAATGGGTGAAAAAAATACACAACACAATCTCCTTAAATGACAGTTTATATTGGGTAGGACTTTACCCACATAGAGACCTGAAAGAAGACATGATTATCATCATGGTATTGGAACAAGGGCCAAGACCCCTCAGAGGGAATGCCCTTCTCACTAGCCTTCTGAGTTATATTTCTTCTTGCTTACTTTCCTTCTGTCCCCATTAATTATGCATCCTTTGTGGCTCAGTGGGCAATTTCCAACAGAAAAAAAGAGGGAACCCCATCAAGATAAGCATATATACTAGTGAATGTAAGGCACTTTTTTTGACAGTGAAAGATGTGTGCATGTGTAAGTCCCCTCAGGATAAGGAGAGTCTATAAACCCTGTCTTCCACTTCTTGGATAAGTCTCTAGTCATTAACCCCTATAGTCTCCTCTACCACTCTAATATAATAAAAGCCATAGCACTTCCGTCTGGGTGTCTGTCTGTCCGTAACGTTCTGGGCCAACTGTGCATGTGCCACCCAGAGCCTTATTAACAGACAGACACACAAGCAAGGTGAGGCAGAGGTGGTGGGAACCAAGGTGTGCTCTGGGGCAAGGGATGTGGCTTGCAGCCATGTGGGGGCTGCACAGGGAGCGGGTGTGGGGTGCATGGGCAGCACATGGCCATGGGGTAGGGCGCATCCCCCCCAACACCCACTCCCCGCATGGCTCCCTGCAGGCAGGTGCTGCGCCCCCCCACCCCGTGTGGAGATCGCCTGTTGGCTGTGGCCATGGAGCGTGCAATGAGGCATGGCGCACGGGTGCATCGGGAGCCGTCATAGAGGGCGCACGGGTAGTGCCCCCTGACTGCAGCATGTGGCTGCAGAGTGGGCTGTGCCCCCCATGCCTGCTCCTCACATGGCACCCTGTGGCCACACTCCCACCCTCCTGTGGGGGGTGACTGCCAGCTGTGGATGTGGGATGCACTGGCTGGGGGGGAGGGCGGGGTGCATGGCCACAGGGTACCATTCAGGGAGCTGGTGTGCGGGGTGGTAAGGGGAGGGGTGTGGTGGTGGCCATGGCTGGGGGGCACTGGGGCTGAGGCTGCACCAGGCTGATCCCAGTGGGGGGCGGGCTGTGCTCAGGCCAGGCTGGGCTGTGGGGCCATGGGAGCCCAGTGGCTCCTCCACGGCCGGGGCAGGTGGCTCCTGCCACTGTGCACACCGTGGGGAAGCCAGGGGAGGGGGGCCTGCGCTGCCCCCTTGACTCACTGGTGCTGCACGAGCCACTAGGCTCTGATGGACCCAGGACCCAGCCCGGCTGAGGTCCCAGTCACAGTGAATGCGGCCCCAGCTGGGCTGGGCTGTGGGACACTCAGAGCTCAGTTGCTCCTCCAGAGGTGGTGCCAGGGAGCCCAGGTGGGCACAGGGCCCCTCGTCTGTGCAAGGGGCAGCAGTGGCTGCAGCTGCGTCCTCCACTCCGCCTCTGCTCTCCATCTCTCTGCTCCTGCTTTGACAGTGGCACAGTGCTATGCAAGTCCCGCCACAGGGCAGCCTGAGCCAGGCAGCGAGGCAAGTGTGTGTGGTGTGGTGTTGGGTGTGGGGGTGGCATGTGGCTGAGTGTGTGCAGCATGTAGTATGTGGCTGGGTGTTGCGGGTGGTGTGGCCGGCTGGGTGGGTGTGACGTGTGGCTGGCTGGGTGGGTGTGGTGTGGGGTTGGGTGGGTGTATGGGGATGGGTAGGTATAGCACGACTGGGTGAGTGTGTGTGGCATGTGGCTCGGTGTGTGTGTGGCATGTGGATGCGTGGGTATAATGTGTGGCTGGGTGAGTGTGTGTGGGTGGGGAGGGTGTGTGGCTGAGTGGGTGGGTGCATGGGGTATGTGGCTGGCTGGGTGGGTGTGGGTGGTGTGCAGCTGGGGGGGTGTGGTTGGGTGTGTGTGTCTGGGTTGGTGTGGTGTGTGGCATGTGGCTTGGCGGCCTGGGGGTGGGGGTGTGGCTGAGTATGTGGCATGCACCTGTGTGTGGGGGGGGGCACGTGGTTGGGTGTGTGTGTGTGTAGTTTGGTGGGTGTGTAATGTGTGGGTGTGGTGTGTGACTGGGTGTGTGTGTGTCAGGTGTGGGGGCACGCATGGGGCTGGACACAGAGCGTGGAGGTGGAGGGAGGGGGAGTTGAGCATGGCCAGATGCAGAGTGGTGGCAGTGTGGCGAGGTGGGTGGTGGCGCTCCATCCCCACTGCTCACCCATCATTCTTGATGGGCACTTTGCTAGTTGTTATATTATGAACTGCCTGCATGCTAGCTACATCAAACAGTTGCT